TCTTCATTAAAAAGTTTAGCAAAATATCTCATCCACCTTTGTTGAATATCATCTTCTAAGAAAAGTATTTTTTGATCTTCATCCTTAATACACTTCACTTGAACTAAATCCTTACTACTCCTATCTCTTTGTTTGGCTAACTTATACATATATCTTTCTCTCTCCTTAGTATATAATCTATTATATAAATCACTAAAAGTTAAGATTTTTGCATCGCATATTGCTTTCTTAGATTCCTTACGAGCCTATTTATATCTTTTCCAATTATCAGAATTTTTAAAATTAAACCAATTTTTATAACAAATCTTTTTATTCTTAATATTTTTTCTTGCACATTTGGATTCCACCACCAACTATTTATAATATTAGGAGCTTTTCCCTTTGATACTCCAAGCACATCTTTTGTCATATTCTTAATATCACTATCCACTTTATCCCACATAACATTAGCATCCTCATGCACAGATAAAATCTTAAGATCTAAAATCTTACTCTCAAAAAAATATTTTTGTTAATATTCTTTAAATTCCCCCATCTAATCCTAGAATATCGTTTTACTTTATTTTTTATTATCTGCCCCTTTATCTTAAAGTCTAAAACTAATAATCAATGTTGGGTACATAAATTTTCACTTGGAATAACTTTACAATCTTTACAATCTAAACGATATAATTTTCTTATAAGAAAATAGTCAATCTGTGTTGTACTATATCCATTTTTATAAGTGATGAGATGCTCATTCATTTTCTTAAATAAAGTATTAGCAATTGAAAAATCATAAGCTAAACAAAAATCTAATATGGTCTTGCCACCTTCATTTGTTGTTCTAAAACCATAGCCACCATGAATGCTTTTAAAATCATCTACCTCTCTACCAACATGTTCATTTAAATCTCCTTTAATAAAAACTCTTTCTTCTAGAGATGTCTTTTGTAATAATTCTTCTAAGTCATTCCAGAAATTTAATTTAGAACTCATATCCAAACCTACTTGAGGAGCATAAGCACTTATAATATTAACAATCTTATCATCAACAATAATCTTTAAAGCTATAATTCTATCATCAATCATATTAATTTTTATAACATTATCTTTCAAACTCTTATCTATAATAACACATACATCATTTCTAGTACGACTCCTACCAGAATACCAAAGTTTAAATCCTAAACTATCAATTTCCGTATCCTTCTCTCCAACCCATTTAGTTTCCTGAATGCAGAAAATATTTATCTTCCTATGAATCATAATATCTATTAATTCCATTAATTTTTCTGTAAGGGAACCCATATTCCAAGTTTCTATCCTAATTTTAGTTTCATGGACTAGCTTCTTTGTTCACATCCGTCCTTGATGTGAGAACCCTTGCCTATTTAACACTGCACCGGGCGCCGGTGCAACGGCCCTTGCACACTTGTCACTGTATTCAGGCCATACAATGCGTCGCTTCCAGGTGACACCCTAGCATTAACACAATTTCTTAAAGAATTCATGTCATTATTATTTGACAAATTTTACGCTGGCTGTCGACTACCTAGCTCAACCCTCCACTTTTCTCATCCAGCACTTGGGACCTAGCAACGGTAGTGTTAAGATAAATATTCTATGTATTTAGGAAATTAAATGGGTTGAAAAAAATACTAAGGAGATGGATAATTTAGGATTTAAACTTTG